GCGACTACCTGGCGGGTGCACCTATGAGCGTGTCCGAACAGAAGTCGGTCAAGTGGTTGCAGTCCAGCGAGTCTGAAAGCGGTCACTACGATTGTGGACGACCTTGACACAGTTGATTTTGAACAAGGATGCCGGATAGAGAAATATTGGCGCCAGCTGCAAACGCCGCAGCTCCAGCATCTTCTGTAAACTGGTCGCTAAACGCTATTTTAACGATAATTGCAGGCTGCCTTGTCATTCAAGTTTCCCTCTGTTTTCCTAGTCTGCCTTGAGGTATTTTTTTTGAGTACGACGCATTCAGTGCGCCTAATTCAACATTTTTATTCCTGTTGCAGAACTGCGGAGCTTCGCGTGACGTAAGCTGGCGCATTGAGGGTGATGAAATTAAAAGGCGATGGTTGAGTATCGGGGGTTCCACGGTGACGGGCCTCCTGTGTCGTCACACCTCGGAGAAACCCGTGACAAGCTGGGTAGCTGAAAGCTTTCTGTTAATTTCCGCTTTAAATTTATCCAGTTGGTTGAATTGGCCCTGTCCTCTTCCACCAGTGCTCCAGTCAAGGAAACTAGCATGGAACTACACTGTCCCGCAAATTCCATCGCCGAGGCTGGCAAACAGTCGATACGAATTAAGGACTGTGCTGACGGTTTTCTAGATGGTAAGCACTGTTTGTACTTTTATCATTGGTGAATTTTTACCATTATGTTATTTGGCTCCTTCGCTCTGCATGTACGGTCTTCTAAAAATTCATCAGCAAGGGCTACCCCATCGTCCAATCTTCGATGAGAAATTCGCCGCATTACTTTGACGTTGGCTGTATTCACCAAAATTTGAAATACGCCTTTGAATGTGGCGATTCTATCAAAAGTACAGTGGAACCTCGATCAACGAGCTAAATCCGTTACGGTAGCCAATCAAACTGCGGACACAAGCACACAGACGCACTGATAACTCGGTAACTGAGTGGAAACTCATCAATCAAGACAATTTTTGGCTCGCTCATTACCCGAAATTCTCTCAGATGGGGCTGCTCACCACCCCAGACTTTTGTGAATGAAAAATGCTGCCTTTAGATCTATCCTCACTGTTTACCAACGTGCCAGTTGTAGGAACAATTAACTACCAATGTGGATTTATCTGGGAAACAAACTACCAGATGAGTACGACAGTGGAGACCCTAAAAGAACTACTAACGTGATACATACAAAGCGGTCCACTTTCCTTGCAATGGCTAACTATCCAGGTAAATAGGCGGGGTGTCGATGGACTCACCACTTGAACCGTTTCTTGCAAATATCTCCATGGACAAGGCCGAACAAAGGAGTCTCAAAGACACTATCAGTGGACTTGATTTCTATGCTCGGTTCGTAGGCGATATCTTTTGTTTGGCAGGTCCCACCACCGATGTGGTTTGAAAGTTTAACCAGGTCCACCCCTCACTAGAGTTTACCGCGGAGGCGGAGACGACTAACAAAATCGCGTGCCCTGATGTCCTTCTAAACAGAAAAGAGGATGGTTCTCTCCAACGCAGGATATTCCGAAAGAAAACCTGGATGGGATAATACATTGTTTTTGAGATTTGTCCCCCTTAATGTAAACCGAAATTCAGTCTAGTGATTAGGGGTCAGAGTGCTCTATTGAACCTCTTGCGTTCCACTTGAGTTCCACCAGCTGCAGAACATATATCGAGAAGTGTTAAGGCTGACAGAGTTAACCTTCCAGGCCCGTTTCCTTAGGAGAAGATAGAAGTCATGGAAAGGCCAGAGTGGTAGGAAGAGTGTATTCTATACAGAAGGGTTGGATAGTAAGCAGGAGGAAGTCCAGAGCGCACGTCCAGCCGTGAGGGGGCTAGTTCCGAAGTGATGTCTTGAAGAAGACACCGCATTGGGGCCGTATCCACACGGTTTAAGGCCAACCTCCCAAATAAGGCTAGTCTACTAACGCGGCAATCTCATTGGACGGATTGAGATCAAGCCACTATTGATTGAGGGGTCGCGCGTCAGTTTGCGCCTGGCCTGAGGCATGCTGAAAACTGCTTTCGCGCGAAGTCCTTTGCTGTGAATGACCTCTTCTGTGGCGTCATGAGTTAGGAGGTGGGCTGCATAACTACTACTACTACATCTACTCCGTGAACGCGCGGCTGTCCACCGGAACAGTTGGGAGCGTGCCATAAAGTCTGCCGTTTCAACTTGTTTATAAGATTGCCTTTTCTAGGAGACGCAGCAAGCTAATTAGTAAGACGACAACTATTACACGTGCTTTTCCGACAGTGAACCCCCAAACTCTCCATTTTTACGGTTGGAGGGTAAAGACCGATTGCCGTCGCAGGCCACATTGATGTTTATTTATTTATTCATCTGCTGCTGCGGTCAACGAGGCGTCTGGAGAAGAGGGTGTGCGTACATCTTCATACCTAATGGTATATAGGCGCTCACCCACCCACTCCTCCCGTTGTGTCTTGGAGCTCTTCCTCTCGAGCCCCGCCAGCAGCCGCACAAGGACTAACAATATAGGCAGAATGAAATTACCGACAAGGGAAAAGGAGGCCATGATCAGCCAGCCGTACCCAATCTTAGCTGGTACCTGTGCTGCCCATATAATGTCTCTTGTTACC